ATAATGTTCTTTTCAATTGAAATCGATTCATGGTCAGTAACTCTTTTTATATCTTCTTTTTGTAATAATGTATGTCGCCATATTTAAATCTAAAATATATAATGTAATATGACAAGCATATAATTATAGTTGTTGAGACAGACTGACGAACATGTCAAATGAAATAAACGTTTTTATGATGCGCATCTTTATTTCATACGTATTGTCCTATCTTGAACAAAATTCATATATTGAACATTTACGATTAATATTTTTGTGATTAACATAGCAGATCATGAATGAGCAAATATGTTTATTCGACGTTTGAATATTCGTAAGTCAAATATTTCTTTGAGGAAAAACACATTTTCATACATATACGATTTTAGGAGATCAACCAGTAAATATTTTTGGTGATGGTCTTCATCAAACTCAAGTAAATGTACAAAGTTCATTTATAATCGATGCACGTTCAGCATATAATCCAACTGACGAAGTTAAAATCATTATATGTCCACCAGAACGTTCAACGTACGTTCAAGTTATTAATCATCATGATGGCTTATGGATGGTTAATTATGTATCACATGAAATTGGTGAACTACAAATTCTTGTATATCTTGGTGATAAACTTATAAATAATAATCCATTTAAAATCAATGTATTTGATATTAATCAAATACATGTTTCAAATTTAAGCGATGGTTATGTTAATCATTTCGTTAAATTTAATATCGATACAATTAAAGCTGGTATTGGTCAATTGGAAGTTTTTGTACAAGATGGACAAGTATTGTGTAGTGCTCTATCACGTAGTACATCAGAATTTGATGTTACTTTTTTACCACGTCATTGTGGACTACATCGAATTGATATTAGATTTAATGGATTAACAATACCCGGTAATTACAAAAAAAAAAGAAAAGTCAAATAAAAAAAAGAAATTTATTGATTTTTAGGTAGTCCCTTTGCTTGTGATATCGATGAAATGGCACGTGTAACTGTATCTAATCATTTAACAAATGTACATGTCGCACATCCTGCTTCGTTTGATATCTGTAATCAATCTCAACATATAGATATTCATATAGCCTGTAAAAATAATTATTTTGATAAAAAAAAAAAATAATAAAATTTTTTTTTCTAATTTTATTTTAAGCACCATTGAATCATTGCGTTTTTTATCAACGAACACAAGTGAATGAAAAGAAAACTCATATTGATTATATTTTAAATGAAATCGGTGAGTGAACATGTTGGTTAATCAATTTAAAGACTTAATCAACGTGACGATTGATATTCATAAAAGTAGTGACCATAGCAAGTCATCGATTAAATTTGAATTTTTTTCAAAATATACGATAAACGTATAAATTTTGACAAGATACAACTTTTTATTCAAGACAAAAAAAAAAGAGAACTAGACACAAAATTAATTTTTGCATTTATAGACTGAAATAAGACAATATACACAATAGTAACCAATAATATCAAGGAGCTACATATATAGATTTTTTTTTCACACGTTCGTCGTGTTCTGTATATATATATCGTAATAGTACACCTTTTTCTTTCATCATTTGCTATGCATATAAACTCACCTTCAAGTGTATGATACAGATCAAATGCAGAGACCATGAATGAAAACACATAACATCTGTCTGACTTTCACTTATTACATCTATATGTTTTTTTTTCCTTGATCAGGTCTGCATCGTGTAGATGTTCGATCGAGTCAGAACATGGAAGTATATGGTTCATCGTTTCTACTACAATCATATGATACAAATCGTTTAGTTGTCTCTGAAATACCACGTTTTATCATCTACAATCAACCTGTTGAATTTACTATTGATGCATTTAAAGCTGGAGAAGGACAACTTGAAGTTGCTATTAACAATGGTCAAGTACCAAATAAAGTTAAACCATTAGGAAAATCAACATTTCATTTTACATTTATTCCAACATCAAATAATCTACATACACTTTCTATTAAATTCAATGGACAAGAAATACCTGGTAAAGATATTTCTATTGATCGTAATATAAAATTACTTATTCTTATTATTATTTTATAGGTTTTCCTAAAGAATGTCAAGTTATAACATCTAATGATATAAAAATTCATGGACCTGGTCTTAATCAAGTATTGGTTGGTAGTCAAACATGGTTTACAATTGATACATCACATGGTGGTTCATCAAATATTGAAGTGAAAATATTATCACCTAAAGATGAAGTATTAACTCCATCAACACTATTAACTATAGCTGGTCTTCGAGTTGATTGGACACCAACCGAAGTTGGAACTTATAAAATTCATATAACATTAAATGGAAATATAGTACCTGCAAGTCCATTTTTTGCGAAATGTTATGATCCAAAAAAAAGTTTCGGTTGCACCAGCAATGAACGACAGTATTGTTGGAAAACTAACAAAATTTCTCAGTAAGTTGTCACATTATATTTATCGATTTGTACTCAAAAGAATCATTATCCTTGTACATACTTATATATTTTTTTTGTATACAAATAGTCGATGCATCGAAGGCAGGTGAAGGTAATCTTGAGATTAGTGTCAATTATTCTGGTCATAATATTCCTAATGAAGTCAAACCATTAGGAAATAGTAGTTATGAAGTTCAATTTATTCCACAAAAAGCAACAACACATCACTGTCATATTCTGTTCAATGGTGAACTTGTACCGGGTAAATAATTTCTTTTGATATGCACAGATACATACATATTTAAAGATAACGAAAACTTAAATACAGGTATCTTGTCATATATCGATTAAAGCAAGTGATCATTTAATATATACTTGAGATTGACAAGGTTCTTTTTTCGCACCTTTATCTTATCTAGACATCCTTAATATTATACATAAATCGTCTTATAGGTTCAATCAAGATGCTCAATGATTTTTTTTAATAGACCAAACAATTAGTTATAAAAGATTATTACGTTCCTTTTTCTTGACTTGTGTTGAATATGTATATGAATATATCGTTATTAATTTTGTTACATATTCATACTAATATAAAAATGATGGGTGAAGCAAAACGAAAAAAGCGCAAGTGAACATATATGTAGTTCTTTCAAGCGCATCAACATTACTGAGCGGAGAGAGAGAGAGAGTGAAAAAAAAGTGAATGATGATAGAATAGTCGAGCGGAAAAATTCACTTTTTTAATTTATATGAACAGACTACTTGTATGTTTGGTTTACATAAAACATCAATTTTCTTTCAAACATCTCCAGGTATTTTTTTTTTCCTCCTAGTCTAGTTTTTTTTCTTACAAAAAAACATTGATAATAATAATAATTGCATTTGAATTAATTTAGGAAGCCCATTTCCTGTAAATGTCATGGAAAATCAACGTGTGATGGCTATTGGTAAAGGTCTTGGTTCAGTTCCAATTAATATTCCAACATCATTCACAGTTATAACACAAAATGATGATGTGGGAAAATTGAAATGTTCGATAAAAGGTGTGGTATACAAGCTATTGCTTTCATATATATATTGTTTTTTGGTAATGGGATCGAATAATTTCTAATTTTTCTTTATTTAATTATGAATACTAACTTAATGTGAGTTGAGTATGAATATTTTAATTATGAAAATAAACATTAAATATTTACAGGACCAAATGATCATTTGGTATCATGTATAACTACAAAAATAGATCCAAATCGATATGAAGTAACTTATACGCCAGATCGTGTTGGTTCGTTACAAATTGATTTTTTTTTCTGTAAAAAATTATTTCGCTTTTTTTGTGCTCAGGTGAATTTCATATCGATGTTCAACATGATGATATTCCAATTGATAGTAGTCCATTTACATCTCAATCATATGATATGAATAGAATAAAAACATATGATATACCATCATCAAGTACTGTTGGTACACCAACTTCATTTATTAGTAAACGAAAAATTTTTGTCTACTAGAAAAAAAAAATTTCTTTTTTTTTTAAATAAATATCTAGTCGATGCAGCTGATTCGGGTGCAGGCAATCTGGAAATATCTATATCAAGAGATGGAAAAAATATTCCAAATTATGTACAAAATGAAGGTAGTGCTCGATTTCGTGTAAATTTTGTTCCAGATAAACCTTGTATTCATTATGTTCGAATTAAACTTAATGGAATTCATATTCATGGTAAGAAGAAAGAAGAAAAAAAAAATTTTTTTCTTAATTAAAATTACATTTTAGGATCACCTTTTGCATGTAATGTATTTTCAAGTGATTATACATTTGAAAATTATGAATTTGCACCCATTAATAAACGAGCATTAATTACAATTAAACCGAAATTAAATGGAATAATTGATCCAAATATTTATGTTGATATTGTTACTCCATCTGGTAAAAAATTAAAGAGTAAAATTGAAAAAACATCAACAAAATTATATACTATTGGTTTTGTACCAAATGAAATCGGTGATCATGAGATAAGATTTTATCATGATGAAGAAAAAAAACTAATTATGACAAAATTGAATTGTCAAGTTTATGATATAAGTAAAATACGTGTCAGTGATTTACCACTTGCTGTCACTCATCAACCGTGTAAATTTACAAGTAAAATTAACTTTTTTTTTTT